ACGCTCAATACCACCAGTCTTTAGCCACATGTTTCTAAGAAGGAAATCTTATTTAGACCCTAATAAATATCTTCCTGCAAGTCTTCCTTGAACAACCTGTTTTTTTCACAGGCTATTTATACCTGGCTTGCTATGAACAGATGTTTGTCATTCATTATACATTCCAGTACACACTTTAAAAGGGAGGAATTAAATACAAAACACAATTACAATGTATACTTGGTGCAATACTGGGAAATGTTAGCAGTTAAACTGAGGCTGCTTTAAATTAAAATAATAATAATGACCTGTCTGGAAAGAGGCATCTTGTTCCATTAAAATGAGATGTGACACCTTAAGAAACACATCAGCAAAGACTTTGTTTCAGATAAGAGAATTCATCCCCTTCCCAGTTATGATTTTTTATGCATCTAGAAGGACTGCATTCCTGTTTAATCACTTGTGGAAATGCGCAAATGACTAAGTTTGAGAACTAGGAATGGTATGCGAGGAGAACCACAGCTTGCAGGATTGAAGCACTTGAATTTTTTTTTTTGATTGATAGGGGAAATAGCTTCCTTTATCACCGCTTTATTGGGGCTTCCCTATTCCTTCCGAATTTACCTGTCGGGTAATGCTGGTGTAACGGATTTTCCTAGCAGCAATATTTCTGATGTAATGCAAAATTACTTTGGAGTGGCTTGATAGTGGATGTGTAATCAAGACCCGTTGGCTTTACAAAAGACCTGCTCAGGAGAGACGTGAAACTCTCAACAATGTTAAAATCCTTTCTTGCTCTCAGAAGGAGTGTCTTTTTCCGCACCAACCTGCACAGGCTCTGAGCTGGTGCCACATAAACGGCCACCTTGGTGGCTCTTTGAGGTGGGGAAACGTCCTCCCTAGGGAGAAAAATACCTTCGTCTAGCAGGAAAATACCTTTTGATCAGGCAGCTTTCCCCTAATTGACGGGGTATTCAAAAGGGAGCTTTTAACGGAGGGGGTGCTGTGTGTTTCTGCAGCATTTTTAATGCTTTGCAGTATTTTAATAGGGTTTCAGCATTTCAGCAAGCTGCAATCCATTGCTATACATACGCTGAGGAGATAAAAGAGGGGATTTCCACGAGCAACCAAGAATGAGGATGGTTGCTTGCGGAAATCAGACCGAGTGTGGTCGCATTTGTGCGCAGACATGTGCATCCCTTATACAGTACGTGTGGGGAATTGTGGGCCCTCCAGATGTTAGGGTCACATTTCTACAGAATTCCTTGGCCCTGCCAACAAGGGGAATTTTTGAGGGTAAACAGCAGGAAAGCAAAGGATTCCTCCAACCCTGCAACAGAAATACAAAAGATTTGCTGAATTATAAGGTTTATAAACCACACGTTGCACCGACCAGCTGCCCCCGGGCCGGCGCAGAGTTTTCTTTTCTTAAAAATAGCTGAACACCAAGAAGCGAGACTCGCGCTATACATATCTTGTATACCTGTACGTGTAGCTCAGACGCAGCAGGCTGGCAATTAAAGGCGGTGCTGACAGAAGGCTTTATTTGCTTGTTTGTATTTGCCATCTCTTCTCTCGCTTTCTCAGCAATTTCCCTCTCGGCTCCCCAGCCTGCCTTTCTTGCTGATGTTGGATCGTGTCCCAAATCTGGATCCAAGTGACTCAAAACCGCCACCTCTTAATCATCTCTGGCAAATAGCGCCTCGTATTTACAGACCGCGATCCACCACCCCCACCTTTGAGTCACTTATTTTTTTCCAGAGGCAGAACTTGCTTCACGCCACCCAGGATGAAGGGGGGGAGGACCTTATTACTGACCCCGCCTCTTTCGGGGGGAAAAAGTTGCGGTGGAAATCCCATGAGCTTCTGGGGGTGGCCCAAAGTCAACCTTCGGCAAGGGAGCGGGTGTTCAACCGCAAGGCTGCTGAGCGCGCCTCCCGGCACACAGACACCATTTTGGTATTCCACTAATTGGACTAAACAAGAGGGGGAAAGGCCCACGAGATAGTCAGTATCTCTTGTTGGAACAACAACGCTAGTATGTAAGCTTTTGAGTTCTGCAGAATTCTTTGAACTCTAGCTGTTTTTTTTTAAGAGGCAGAAAAGGGAGTCCAGAAATCTGGCCAAATATTTTTAAGCCATGAGGTCCAAGAAATGCAACTCAATCCCAAGAGGGAGAAGCTCAGACAAAGAAAGTTCCCTGGCTTGATCTCAGCTGGGGACCAGATAATTTAGAGAGCCAGCATGTTGCAGCGGCTAGTGCATCAGACTAAGGTCTCAGGAGACCCGGGTTCAAGTCCTGGTTTGGTCGACTAGGATCCATTACAAAAGAGAGAACAGATGTCACCAAATGGAGAACATAGAGGAGAATGAATATCAAAAAGGAGGACGTGTTCACACAAAAAGGGCACGTCTGCGTTAAATGCGCATATGCGAACTTATAGGGGCAACTATCATCAGTGTTAGACATTGTTGATATAATTTAAATGGGAATATTATCGCCCAAGATGGTGACCATTCGGCACTGAGGTAAAGATGGTTTCTAAATCCAATGAATAAATAAAGCATAGTGTTTAATATCTCCCCGGAAGGCCCTGGGCCTTGCATTTTCAACAGCCTACTGAAAGTGAATAATATAAAAAGAAAATAAATAGAAGTCATGGTAGTTTTTTTGGAATATCTGGCTAGGCAACAATCAGTTATTTCAGAGGAATGGACTGAACAGAGCTTCCATCACCCCCCACGGTGGCCCATCATCCTCAGCCTGTATCCTATACACCAACTCTCTCTAAACAGGAGTGTTCTTTTCCATTTACTTTGACCTTTCTTATACGGTTTGTGTTGATGTTGCGGGATCTGTTTCATAAACCAAAAGCGATGTGATTAGCTTATTTGTTTGCTGCGAATTTAGTAAACAAAGCGTTTAAACATTATGAGTTGCATGTTATATAAATAACTGCAATATTCGAGGAGAAAAAAAAGGAATAGAGGGTGCTTTGGTTGGTTTGGAAGGAGACTTTTAAACTCATTCACAGGTTCTAGTTGTGTCGGGTTTAAAGCATGACAGTTCAAGAGCCTCTACTTCCCTTAAATTATTGAGATTTTAATTGGTGCAGGGTAGGGAGCAGCGACCGACAGAAGGGTGAGCACCTATTAATTCCAGCATGCCTGAAGAACTGGGTGCGTAAATATATGGTTTTTTTTCCTGTGGGATAGCCTCCTTTTCTAAAAAAGGAAATGGGGCAAAAACAGTAATTACTGCTTTGATTTTTAAATCTGATTGGCCTTGCATCCATACCAGTTGCCCAGTTTTGGCGTGTTCAGTGTTCATGGTGTGTGCAATAACTATATTTTAGAACCCAAAGGATTTCTGCAAAGAGATAGTAGTGGAAAAGCATTATTTTCCACCTGACAGGCTTTTCCTGGCTGACTCTTGAAGCTTCCCCAGGGTTTGTGAATCTCTATTTCCTAGGGACGTTCACAGGGACTAAATTATATTTCAACCCCTTTCCAGGTGTTTTTCCCTATTCCTCACCTGGGAATGTGTGTGGGGCTGGGGGTGTCTGGGGGGAAAAGACAGAAACACACCCTTCAATTATTCCTCCGGGATTCCAGCTTTGTAATTTTCATTTCTTGCTCTCTCTTTCAAAGAGGGAAAGAAAGTCTGGGCCCTCCAGCTAGATGACAGAGTCAGCGGGAGACGGGCGTTTGAAGCAAAAACAAAACAAAAAGGAAAACAGACTGGGGCTGAAGGCTTTGTAGGGGATAAATAATGTTGGCGGGGCTTTTTTTGGGAACAAGTGGTAGAAGGCTTTTGGAATACAGATGTGCCCCTTTGGAGAGGCAGGGAAGGGGGTCAACGGGCAGGTCTACGTAAATAGTAAGCCAGCCAAAATCCTTTCTGCTCTCCAGCAAGCAGGTCAGGGCGACATTTTCCCCAGCCTTGCAAATCTGGCGTTACATCGCTTTACTTTGTTCAGTGTTGTCAAAATGCATGTGGCGTTCCTGCGCTAAAGACAGTCACTAAATGGCACCAGATTCCTAGACAGATTTGGAAGAGATGAGTTTAATTGGGTTTTCATCCTTTAGGACATTGCACTCAATGGGACAGTGTGTATCAATTAATGAAACAAATAAACAGTACATTTATACAATGCCTGTAAGTCTTTTTCTTAAGACAAGCTTTCCCCTTTACGACTGGCAGTCTGGGAGGGGATTTTTTAAATGGACTATGGCGCCTTGTTGCTTTGAATCTATTTTTGGTGTTGGTTGTGTTTGTCATTTTTAATGCGGCGTTTGTTTTTTAAAAAAATATTTGTGTACTTGCTGTTTTTAAATATTGTTTTTTTAAAGCCGGCATGGGTGTATTGCAACCTTCACCCACAGGACTACGCTTGGTTTTAAATGTATTGCAAGCTGCTTTGATCGTTTAACTACAGTGCAGAAGACTGTATGAATCTTACTCCTCAAGAGAATGGTGATTTTTTTTCATAATATGATGAAAATGTATGTTTTTTAAAAAAATAAAACAAAAATCTCTGAACTGTTCTAGAATAGAGTAAAGGGAACCTAAACAGAATATAACTTTTGACATCCTTATTCAGTGACCAGCTGTTAGCAGTGACTTGAGGTTTTTCTCCCCAGTCTTCCGTCTGCAGTTGGAAAAATACTTTCTTTAAATCTGGAGGTTGCACTTAGCGATTGCGATTAACACTTCTTTCCAAACGGTATAAGTTTGTCAGAGGTTTTGTCTCCTGAAAGAAAGGATTTTTTAGAGCAATACGACAGTGGAGCCCATGAGTTCAGGAGGTGGAGGGCGCTCCATCGCTGGACGCACTCAAGAGAAAATGGGACCACCCTCGGTCCGTGGGCGCTCCATCACTGGACGCACTTAAGAGAAAATGGGACCACCCTCGGTCCGGATTCCTGCCTTAAGCAGGGGGTTGGACTGGATGGCCTTCGAGGGCCCTTCCAGCATTGTTGATCTGTGATTCTAATTTTTGTTGTTCCCTTCTCTCCAGGTACCCCTCTCGTAGGCATGTCAGTCAGCGTCCATGAAAACCGTAAATCCCGGACGAGCACTGGTTCCATGAATATCTTGCTGTTCCACAAAGCCTCCCACCCAGACTGTGTCCTCTCTCATCTCAACACCATGAGGAAGCACTGCATGTTCACCGATGTAACTCTCTGGGCTGGGAAGAAGTCCTTCCCCTGCCACCGGGCTGTGTTGGCCGCCTCCAGCAGATATTTCGAAGCCATGTTCAGCAACGGCCTTCGGGAGAGCTTAGGCGACGAGGTGAACTTCCACGACAGTTTGCACCCGGAGATCTTGGAGTTGCTGCTCGACTACGCCTACTCATCCAAGGTCATCATCAACGAGGAGAACGCGGAGTCTCTGCTAGAAGCCGGCGACATGTTGCAGTTTCATGATGTCCGAGATGCAGCTGCTGAGTTCCTTGAGAAGAACCTCTACCCTTCCAACTGTTTGGGCATGATGGTCCTCTCTGACGCCCACCAGTGCAAAAGACTCTATGAGCTTTCTTGGAGGATGTGCCTGGTTAATTTTGAGACCGTCCACAGGAGCGAAGAGTTCAACAGCCTCTCCAAGGATACCTTGATGGACCTCATTTCCAGCGACGAGCTGGAAATCGAGGACGAAGAGAAGGTCTTCAAGGCGGTCGTCCAGTGGGTGAAGTATGACCTAGACAAGAGGAAGCCCTTCCTTCCGGAGTTGCTAAAGAACGTGCGGCTGGCCTTGCTGCCTTCCGAAAGCCTCAAGGAAGCCATGACGTACGAGGAGCTGATCAACACCGAAGAGCCGAACAAGCAAATCATGGAGGAGGCGCTCCGGTGCAAAAAGAAGATCCTGCAGAACGATGGGGTGGTCGTGAGCCCCTGTGCCAGGCCTCGCAAAGCTGGGCACACTTTGCTCATCTTAGGGGGCCAGACGTTCATGTGCGACAAGGTCTATCAAGTGGACCACAAGGCGAAAGAGATCATCCCCAAAGCGGACCTGCCCAGCCCAAGGAAAGAGTTCAGCGCCTGCGCGATTGGGTGCAAAGTCTACATCACCGGAGGAAGAGGCTCGGAGAATGGAGTATCCAAAGACGTGTGGGTCTACGACACGGTCAACGAGGAGTGGTCCAAAGCGGCCCCCATGCTTATCGCTCGGTTTGGGCACGGTTCGGCCGAACTAGAAAACTGCCTCTACGTGGTTGGTGGTCACACCGCCGTGGCCGGCGTCTTCCCCGCTTCCCCTTCCGTTTCTCTAAAGCAGGTGGAGAAGTACGATCCCATGGCCAACAAATGGACCATGGTGGCCCCCCTGAGGGACGGGGTCAGCAACGCCGCCGTCGTCAGCGCCCGGCTCAAGCTCTACGTTTTTGGCGGCACCAGCATCCACCGGGATATGGTGTCCAAGGTCCAGTGCTATGATCCGGCAGAAAACCGGTGGACCATCAAAGCCCAGTGTCCCCAGCCGTGGCGCTACACCGCCGCCGCTGTCTTAGGCAGCCAGATTTTCATCATGGGGGGAGACACCGAATACACCGCAGCCTCCGCGTACCGTTTTGACTGCGAGACGTACCAGTGGACGCGGATCGGGGACATGACGGCCAAGCGGATGTCCTGCCACGCGTTGGCTTCGGGGAACAAGCTTTACGTGGTCGGGGGTTACTTTGGGACGCAGAGGTGCAAAACCTTGGACTGCTACGACCCCATGTCAGACACATGGAACTGTATCACCACGGTGCCTTACTCCCTGATCCCTACCGCTTTTGTTAGCACATGGAAACATTTGCCCGCTTGACCGTCTGCACATCGGGAAGGAGGTAAGATCTCTGGAGAGAAGTGGCCAAGTCAGCCTTTCATCGCTCATCCACTATTTTTTTTAAAGATTTCAGTGGGTTACAAATACAGAAAATCTGAGAAACCTATCGAAGTGTGGATTTTAATGATTTTTTTGGTACTACAAGAATTTTACTGATTTTTTAAAAATAGATCGGGACCTCCTTATTTCAGGGTAACTTACAAGTTATAAAACACAATTAAGCAAGCAATCCGGGGGGGGGGGNAAACAGACGGCGCAGAAGAGCTGAGCAAAAAAAGCGCCCCCAAGCCCAAAAACCATCCCACCATGAATTTAAAAAACACAAGAAGTAAAAAGCCTGGGCGGAAAGACTCTTGCCAGTCTCCTTGATGAGTAAGCTTCTTTGGGGTGGGTGGGTTTCTCTCTCATTGCCACATGCCTCGTATTCACTAAAAGTCCAGATGAAGGAACCTCAAAGACCTCCTAAGGACTAGGTGCTTAGATGTGGCAAATCTGCCCAGAACCCTTGTTTTCAGGCAAAAGAACAAAGAGGCAAGGAGTGCTGGAGGTGGAAAAAAAAGGCTGATCTCTTCAGTGAGAGGGCAACTTAGCAAGAAGCTATCAAAGTTCATTTAGCAGCCAGAGAGAAAACATCTGTTCTGGCTGAAATCCTGTTGCATATGCCAGCATATATTAATTTAAAGCCGCCTCTCTAGCTTCCTGCTGTACCGCAGTGGTGCTGTCCAGATGCTGGCCGACAGCTGCATCGGCACATTGCGCATCAAATAAACTGACCCATGTCTATTAAATGTTTCTGCCGAGGCCAGTTTGTTTATCAGCTCAGCTTACAATCCTTTGCCTAAAAGCTACTCCGGTGCTGAGAATTAATGTGATTCACACCTCTCTCTGGGGGTATCAAGAGCTGAAAAGCCAACTCCATCGGGGACACCACATGCTAGGTCCACTTTTCTTAATTTGCTTAAAGGCCACGCCTTCGCCTTTCTCAACAGCCGTGGCTTTCCAGCGGGAGAGCTGCTTTAACAATTCAGCGGTTATTAATAAGAGGCTTCAGACTCTCGATCAAGCTTGGCTTGTAAAATTTCTTCCCGGTTGCACTTCTGATTTCCTGAGACTTAATTAAGGCAAGATCTATTTCTGGGGAGTTGTTACACACACACACCGCAACGTTGGCTACTCCTGCTGCCCTTTATGGTTCCAAATTTCAAGATTTGACCAGCTTTACTCTTTGGGAGTCACAGAGTAACTCCCTGGATGCTGAGAGCTAAGTAGCCTCCTCTGTGGTTTGCCATTTAAGGACCAGACCTTATCCAGAGATGCTGAGGAATCAAGGAGTAAAACAACAGGCAAAGAGATTAAAAATTCTATTTGAAAAACAGCCGGATCTGTCAAACTACCTTTGTGTTTGCTTGCCCGTGGTGTCGCCCTTTGGGTACTGTTTCCCCCAGAATTTGTCTTGGGGGTATACAAGCGGACTTGGCAAAGTGGCAGGTATTTCTTCCACCCTCTTCTCAGTTTTGAGGGAGAAGTCTTGTTGAGTTCTAAGTGAAACTTGGCAAGCCACAACGGCATTCAATTTAGAAAGCTCAAGACTAAGTTAAAAGGTAAAGGTTCCCCCTGACATTTAGTCCAGTCATGTCCGCCTCTAGGGTGCGGTCCTCATCCCCGTTTCCAAGCCATAGAGCCAGTGTTTGTCTGAAGACAGTTTCCGTGGTCATGTGGCCAGCACGACTAGACACGGAATGCCATGACCTTCCCACTGAGGTGGTACCTATTTATCTACTCACATTTTTACATGCTTTCGAACCGCTAGGTTGGCAGGAGCTGGGACAAGCGACGGGAGCTCCCTCCGTCACGTGGATTCGATCTTACGACTGCTGGTCTTCTGACCTTGCAGCACACAAAGGCTTCTGAGGTTTAACCCGCAGCACCACCATGTCCCCTAGAGATGGGCACAGTTGGTTCGGTGGTTCGTGCCGGTTTGTCCTTTTGGGCAAACATGGATTCCGGGCTTCCCAGCCCTGCCTTCTCTGGTGCGCACCCGCTCTGAGGCAGTGGCCTGGCTTCCCTAGCCTGCTTCTTTTGGGGGATCCCTCTGAGCACCTAGCATCCAAAGGACGCACTGGCACAAACTGCCAAACCAGTACTTTGTGCCCGCCTCTACTCAAGACTTCTAAATGACAGTTCATCAAAGGATACCTAACTTTTCAGGCTGCCCTTCCAAAGTTTTAAGGAGGACATTAGAAAGCATTTTAGGGTTCACACATAAGAGAAGAACCAGGCATACTGTAAGTAGTAGACAGGAACTACAAGTCAGTTGAATTGTGCCCAGGCCCTTGTTTGAAAATACCCATACTTTTTAAAACACACACACACACACATATGGTTATATATTTTAGGCTAGTCTTTCCCATAATGCACTAGATTTCTATCGATGAGACATTTCCCCATACCAGGGTATATTCACAGCTGCACCTTCCTTGCTTGCAGGCTGAAATACAGTCCAGGGAAGGCTGGTACTGCTTTTTTGAGAACGAGGCCGAACCTTTAGCAGCTTAAAGCTTAGTGTGTGATCTCCCGGGACATATTCTCTTAAAGATACTGGAAAGCCGGACAGACTCTCCTTAATGCTGTTAATGAACTGAATCTCTTTCCTCAGTAGGCCTGTAATGTCTAAATGCTGGATATAAGAGGAAATGTGGGCTGAGTTGCATTTTCCCCCCGTGATCAATTTAATTGTTACACCTTTCAGGATAAATTCTCCTCCTTTGACAGGAATGGCGCGTGACACTAATTTATTGCACAGGCGGTTATTCTGGGGATTAACAATGATTAACAGCTTGAATGCAAACAAAAAAAACCCCTAAACTAATCTTTGCACACGTACCTCGTCGCTCCAGTTTTCTGGACCTTAACTGACCAATGACCCATAAAAATGGACTTCAGTTTATATTAGCTCACATCTCTGCTTTGCCTCCGGGGTGATCAGCTCCAAAGGTCTCTTTCATTTATGAAAAAAAATCCTCTTAAAAGATTCCCCCCCCCCTGCGACCGTAACAGCACAACCTAGAACTTTGCTCACCAAGGCCCTGCCATTTAGTTAGAAATAGAAGAGCTTTTTTAAAAAAAATCATGGAACGGTTTCTTTGATTGGGGAATGTGCCTTCAAGTCCCCCCATTAAGAGAGGAGGAAATAAGAGAAATGATTTTGGTCCGAACCGCATCTAGAGCACCAAGTGCCCCTTTGTGACATCACAGAAGGCAAACGAATGACATCACAAGGGTACAGGAGCCAGACAAGGGTTCATTCCTAAATGCCTCTCTTTGACTCCAAAGGAGGGGATGGCTTATGAACAGGACGCTTGTGATACATAGAACTTGTGGCCCACCAATTTGGGTCTCTGTGTGTCCCTCGGTCGCCTATAATGAATTTTCTGGGTCTTGATAAACCGCCTGATTTTACAGCTTGCCAGAACAAAGGAAACAGGTGAAGTCCTAGCTACAGGACTGCAGAACTTAGTTTAGTGGAGGGGCAGGCAAAGCGTGGCCTTGCTTTGGCATTTCCATCACTGGCTTCCCATTTCTCTTAGCTTTTCCAGCCACTTGTGCCTAACCCCCCCCCCCCAGAGCCTGGCTTTTCCATGCCATGGCCGCAGAATCTGTGGTGTTCATCCAGTGTCAGTCGGAGACCGTGTGGGACGGAGGCGGCTCAAACAATAGAAAGCTGAGACTCTTCTGCCTGTCGTAGCCTCTCTTGGACAATTATATCCGCTCAGCCGATGAATGTCACCCCAGCTTTCAGCTGCTGCTGCTGCTCCAAAACCTTCAAGATTCCTCCTCGAGGCATCTTGTCCTTTACGGGAGGAATTAATTGGCATCTACGAGGACATAATATGGGTGGGGAGAAGGGTGGCTGCAACAGACAGGTGGTTCTTGCTGAGCAGATGTTCGTCTTGGAAGCCTGTTTATCAGGACCAGCGAGGTGGGAGTGGCGGCCTTTTGGAAATAGGGTGTTCACGCAAACCGGGTTCCAGCTGCGCCACAGCTCAAAAACCTCAGCCGGATATCAACGCCAGCTGGAGTTGGGAAAATTAAAAACTGAAGGGCTGTTCTAGTCACAGCTCCTCCACCTTCCCCCAGGAAGCTGATTACAACTGGAGTTTGGTTTTCTCTAAAGCCCTTCTTTGCTTTCCCATGCCGTGAAAGTAATTCAGTTACCTTTTCAAAGAGCTCGGAATGGTAACTGCTGGTACTGACCACTTTTCCTTCAGTCAAGGGTACCTTTTAGTCAGAGGTCTGTGGTGAAGAAGTTTGGTTCCTCACTAGAGCTATTGGGAAAAGCTTAGTGATGGGGGCTTCTGAACCCAGATCTGGGGTGTGTGTGTCTAAGATAGGCAATGACTCTGAGAGAAAATTCCTGTGTATTTATTGTATTTTTCCGTGTATAAGACTATACTTTTGTATAAAATCTTTAGACTAAAAATTGAGGGTTGTCTTATACACAGAAGTAAGCTGCGGAAAGAACAAAAACAAGTGGAGGGGAAATCAGGCATCAAAGCGATTCTGCAGTGCTTTGATCCCTTTCCCCCTACACTTGCTAAGCCCCATTTAGATTTGTTAATTTTGGATTAGAAAACTGGGGGGGGCGTCTTATACATGGAAAAAAACGGTACCTCAAGATTTGAAGACCCAGTGGGCTAGCTTAAGGTTCAAGGCTCTAAGAGTTTAGGGAGCGCTTGTTGAAGAAGCAGAAACCAGGGGTCAGAGCAGATCTGAGGGAAGAGAAGAGAAAGCCGAGGCTTGAAATAGAAATAATTTCAGTGGAGTGATCGGAAATAAAAAAGACAGGTCCATTATAAAATCAGTAGAAACACACTCTAGAATAAGTAACTCAGATATATATGCCTCCCAAAGGAACTAAAAGACTAGTAACAGTGTAAACTGAGTCTCAAGAGGCACAAAGTTTAGTACCTAAGGAAATGGATGGAAATGGAGACCCTTTAAATCCAGGAGAACAGTTAGAGACTGAGGAAAATATCTCAGAAACGCCAAGTGTCCTAAGCTCCCTAGATTTTCAAAAATGGAAATTACAACAGGAATTTAAACTGAAAGAGGGAGATACGATAATAGCCCCCTTAGAGCTCAGGAATGCCTTCCAAGAGAGAGGAGGGCTAACCAAAGGAGTGCTAAATTAGCCACTTTGGGCCCCCTTATCAGGAGAAAGGTGGGCTATAGCAGAAGCCAGGGATCAGAGCTATAAATAAAACAAATAATAAAAAAATAAATGAGAAAAACTGTTCAAATGGCTCCCTAAGCACATGCATTATAGCAAATCAGTGGTAAACAAGAAAGTACTGACGAAGGTATTGCTGTAATGATATTCTGTAAACAAGTTTCTGTGTGTGTGTGAAGGGATAAAGCCCCAAAAAACCAATGTATCTATGGGATTACAGAAAACTTCATGCTAAAACACAGAGATGGGGAGAGGCAACACATTCCAATGATTTGCTGCCAGGAGATGACTCTTATCCTGCAAATTATTCTGCTATAACTTGACGAGGGAGTAGAGCAGCTTCTCTCAATGCAAACCTATATTGCAGGGTGGAGAATGTGTAACTTTCTAAAGCTCCTGGAAGACCGTGGCCAGCCTGGCTGATGGTTAAGAGATCTGGAGGGTTCTAATACATATAAATTAAATAAATAATACAAAATGTACAGAAGGCCAGTGGTAGAAGCCATAGCCTTTTGCAAAGCCACAAGCCAAGTATGGATCTGAGTCTTGACGAGCTGTTTTTCTTCTCTCGGTAGATGCTGAACGTCACGGCCCTAACCGGGCAGGATGGGAGCACTGCACAAACATCTGGCTCGTCTTTCTAATTGCTTCCCACGAGATCCCTTCCTATCCCAGTTGGGAAAGGCCCTCGGGTGGCATCGAAAAACGAGATACAAATGGGATGGGGGTGAAGAGGTCAAGCCAGCAAGCCCGCTGGCTTCCCTCCATGGAAGAGGGAACAGAGGATTGGGCACCCACGCAGAGCGCCATCTTGGCACCCTCTGGACTTCGGACAAAAACGACGAAGCTTCAAGGACTTCAGAATTCTCTGCTGCCAAGCGAAGAAGCACAAGGCACCTTTACAAGGGCTATCGTTTGTTTGTAGGGTTTTCAAACGCCGTCGGTTGTTTCTAGTTTGATGTTCCCTGGAGTTTTTGACTGGTTTTAATTAAAAAAAGAAAAACAAGAAAGAAAGGAATAAGTCTGGGAAGTGGTCTGTGAGGGATGGGAGTTTTCTTTCTGAAGTACGCTGGATGGGAGGGATCAGAACAGGTTGCGAAGGGGCGAACGCAAAAACACGGTTGATTTTCCTGGCTTTCAGCCTGCAGAGTTGCAAAATCCAGTCCCATGTCGGAGTTGGGTTACACTGTTCAAAATTATTCTCGTGATTCATGGAGGAAAACAAACAGGAAGGTCAAGTTGGACGCACACGTGTCCCTGTAAAACACAGGAGGCCTAGAACAGTTGGCAAATCCAGATGCTCTCCAGATGTTTCGGCTTATCGGCCCCATCCAGCACAGTCAATGGTAAAGAGCTGAGGGTGTGATGATTTAAAAGATTCCCACTCCTATGGGTGCATAAGAGTGACGATCTCATATGGGTTTTTGGGGCACCTCTGGTGTCTGATGTCAAATAAGAAATATAATACTGGGTGAATCAGTACAGTGATAGGCACTTATCTTTTATTTAGATTTTCTCCTTTTTTTCCCCAGACTTTCCTACTCGGCTCCAGAAAGGTATTCTTTTATTCCCAGGATTCTGAGCACTGTGTGTGACATTCCTGGACCCAGGATTTAGGTCCATAACAGTGGGGTGTGTGGATGTGGGAGAGATTTTTTTTTCTAACTCCTGCTGGTGGAAAAGAAACCGACACAGAGGCCCTGCTTGGAGAGGAGACAGGAGGGAGGGAGATGCGAATAGTGGGGCTTTAGTGGAGCTGCATAAAAGGAAGACAGTCCATTTTGTTCTCCTTCCTTTCATCTTCACTCTGCTGTTTAATTGGCCTGAAAGAGGAATGGAGGGGAGGGGGGGCCCGTTGGCACCACTGGCTCTGACGGGCACCACCGTCGGTTGCTAAGGGATTAAGGGGGAAGGCTCCCCCCAGGAGCACAAAAGAGAATTAGCAAGGGCTGAATAATAAGGTTCAGCCTGAGGGAACGTTTGGTTAGGGAACTGGGGGCTGAAGAGAGGGACGCTTGCTTGCAAAAAACGAATTCCAACGTTTTCCTCCCAAGTGATAGAACAAAGCACATTTCAAAAAGTGTTAAGAAGCTGTCCCTCTCCGAGGTCAATCATTCCCCTTTTCTCATTTCCAAGTGTGGTTCTTCAGGTGTGTCCCTCTCCCCTTCCAATCCAATCTCTGGCACTGGAGATGATGGAAATGCAGCTTGAGTTGGAAGGGTTTGCCACCTTGAACCAGCCTGCTAGGATTTGCACAGGATATACAGACAATTATATCAGTATCGGGAGCTCACGATTTGCGTTAGCAGTCTCTGTCATGATGGGAGATTGTCACGTCACTGAGTGCTTGTGCTCTGAAGAGCCAGCAGAGGAGCACAAAGCACAGTGGTCATTTGGCGCTTTGTCTGTAGAGATGAGGAAAGACAATGCTATCAGCAAGGAAATGCTGTCACACCACATGTGGACTCTCCAAGCCTGTCTTTCAGAAACCCAGGGCGAGGTGGGGACATTTCTTCTTTCACCCTCCAATCCATTCCATGCTGTAAACTATGCTACCCCAAACACACACAGATCATGTCCACTTTCGGGTCAGACCTGGTGCCTGTATGGGTGGGAAATTACTTAGAACCCAAACACACACAGATCATGTCCACTTTAGGAAGCTAAGCAGGGTCAGACCCGGTGCCTGTATGGGTGGGAAATTACTTAGAAAAAGCAGCAACCACCAGATAAGGCTAGGAAAAACTTTTTCCTTAACTCCAGCAGAACGGCTGGCAACACTAGGCTAGATGGGTAAAGATTCTTGAAACAACTCCACACGGCGGATTTGTTCTCCGTTGCTCCAGGGTGCAGAAAAAAAAGAAGCCCAAGTATACCCAAAGGGCAGGTGGGTATGGCTTTGGGAGATGGCAGAAGAAAAACGTTGACTACTACAGCACAGCATGCTTGTGTGATCGCTGAACACAGAGGTGCCAAAACATGATGTCAGCCCAAAGTAAGGCTAATGATGGAAAGAGCATGAGGTTGCCTGGTGCATCGTCGTCATAGGCATGACGACAAGCAAAAATGCATCATCACAAGCCTATTCTTTGTAGGTTTCGTCCAGATCTCTCATTACTAGGGAAAGAGCCGCAAAAAATGTTCCCCCCGCTCCACGTTTGCTCTGTGCTGGGTTTTGAAAAGCGCAGGCGGCCGAGGCTGTGCTCAGATCGGCTGCGAAAGAATGATGTGGAAAAGCAGGGAACAGAATGGCATTTTCCACGCTCGTTTTCTCCCTTTCATTGATGTCTCGTAGAGGAAGAAAAGCACAGCGTTGATGTGCTTGTGAAAATAGCCATGGGAATCTCGCAAGCAGGCCTCTGGGTCTTGTGACCAGATTTCTCACACACAGTTGCAATCAAAACGGCTTTTGATTTTGCCTAAAACCAGACCTAAAGGGTAGACTTGTGCAAATCCCAACATTGACCTATAGGTCTTCTCCAGGCTGTGTCGCTCCTCATCTTTCCCACTCCATCCTGGGAAACCTTCAAATGGATGATCCCTGGGATTGATCCTGATGGAACACACACTTTCTTTTAACACGCACAGTCAGGTCAGGGGAAAAACGAAGCCAAACGAACACATAAAATATTTGTGCGTCACAGGAACTCCCTTTGGCTTGCTCCAGAATTTGGTTTACTTGCACGCAACATTTTGTCACTCAGGAAGCAAGTTGTCTGTTTTTCAGAGCAAAGAATATTCCTCATCATAGAGGGAAGAAAAAGTACAACTCGTCTGAGCCGGCTTCTATTCTGTACGTCTGCAAATAATTGCTCTTCCCAGTCCCTTTTCCAAAAAGTTTAATTATTTGACAACCAAAAGGAGCGGCAACATTAAAAGAGAAGTTTTGGCCGGTTCCCCCGAAAGAAGGCATTTTGAAAAGTGGCTCTGGATTATTTACCATATTTTTCCATGTATAAGATACCCCCATGTATAAGACGCCCCCCACTTTTCTAAGCCTAAATTAAGAAATCTAAGTGGGGCTTAGCAAGTGTAGGGGGAAAGGGATCAAAGCGCTGCAGGATCGCTTTGATCCCTGCTTTCCCCTCCACTTGTTTTTGTTCTTTCCTCAGCTTACTTCCTTGTATAAGACGACCCTCAATTTTTAACCTAAAGATTTTAGACTAAAGTATAGTCTTATACACGGAAAAATACGGTAAGTCACACTTGGAGAGACGCATGCATTACCTACCCATCAAGTAAGTGACGAATTGAAGCTGATTGGGGGGGGTTCAGATGCCTGAACTGCTGACCAGCATTGACTTGTGTTTATGTAGCAACTAAGACACCCTTTGCAGTGGGAACAGAGCTACTGGGAACTTTTCATCTCTAATTAATGGCCAGTCTTGCGTGCCTGCACACAGCAGCATTAATCCTTTTGAACAGAAGAAAGAGCAAGCAGGGGGACTGGACAGTGTAAGGCAGCAGCTTGAGCAGGAGAAGAACACTTGAGATCCAGAATTAGGAAGGAAAACATAGAGAGGGGAGAACGCGGAAGGGATCCCATTCACATTCAAAGGCCGTGGGAGGTGATGGGGACGGGAAGGGCCCAGGAATCCCAGAATCTGATGCCGGAAGAAAGACATTCACCCCAAAAGTGGTGCTCTTCTGCAAAATAAAATAGAAAATCAAGGTAAAGAACCTCTTCCAACCTCAGAGCTGAGTCAGCACCAACGTCAAAAGAACAGGGCCGTCTTTGGTTTAAAGCCCTTACTGCCAGTAATGAAGATGGAAGAGGACCTTTCAGCCTTCAAGATTAGAGACAAAGGGGGTGCCCGGGGGGGCGGGGCGGGGAAGAGTCACCTGGGAAGCCCAGATGATCCGATTCGGAATTCAGGAGAATCAGGATCCGACCCGGGGGCTGAGGTTCTCTACACCTGCTATGATTCTTGTGGCCCCCACTGGAGAGGAACAATGAAGTCTAATAGGTTGGCAGAACACCAGGAAGGGAAAGGAAGAATACACCATGCTCTGGATCAGAGAAGATTACTCCTGCATGAGAGAGAGAAAGAAAAGGATAGTTAAAAGCCCGTCTCACGGTTCCCTAACTCATTTCTATACCAATTCCCATATGGGGTGCTGCTCTGAGGCAGTATCTGGTCCAGTCCCACCACAGCTGTACAGCTGTACCCCCCTTCCCTCCCTCCCTCTGCAGAATAGGGAACATGCCCTCCACGTCCCAACGTTAGCGTTTTCGTTCGCAACGAGAGGCGAGAAGTCTCCCCCATCTCCCTCCCCATCGGGCACACTGAGGCACAACTTCATTGGACTCAAAATCAAAATTTATTTAGAGGGAAAGGGGGGGGGATGACTTTACAAGAAGTTGTTTTCTCATAACAAGAAAGGCAGATAAATAAAAGGTGGTATGAAAATCGGATGGGTTTTTGCTTGCTTGCAAATCACAAGGGGAAAAAAAATTACAATTTTTTTTTTACAAACCGTAACCTACCTAACTTTTTACATAATTACAAATGAACATTCTCTTTTCTTTACCCCTCCCTGCTGTTACACAGGTTTATTTCTAATGTGTTTTTTCTTCTTCTCCTTTACACATAAGATTTCAATAGAAAATATGCCACAGGTACCTTCACGTAAGCGTCGTCGGCAAGATGGAAGCAGCAAACACACAACCCTTCCCTTAACTCTCTTTCTTTAAAACCATGCAAAATAGCAACTCCTTTCTCTGGGGAGAAAAACGATGATGGCCGCAGAGAGGTGGCGGGTGTTTTTGGCTAATAAATTCCACGCCACGGCATCCATTTTGCTCCTGCTGCCTCTCGGATCTCCTCGTACACAGACAGCGACCCACAGACGTGGCCCTATAAATGGTTCCGTGGTCCTCCTTGGGCGCCTGCAGTGAAACCAGCGCAGCAAATAATGGATCGGTGGCTTTCCTGTGGGAGAAA